TCTTCTACCCTAACAAAGTTCTACTTCGAAGTTTAAAGTATTTATTTTCCAAAAAGTACAAAAAAAACTAAATCACAACAATATAAACTTAGGTATTTCAGAATATTTAACGCTAGTAGTAAACATCGTTTTATGATAGTTCGAAACTTTTTAAGCATCACATGTTGTAAGCTTGCTCCTTGTTCTCATTAACAGCTTCGGCACAATATTTTTTTCTTTCTTGCTACGACTTAACGTGTAATATTGTAAATAGCAAGTCATTTATTAGGAAAATTCAATATGATCAGTTATCCCATATTCACCCTTGAAATGTAAATGGTATTTGTCCAAACAGTAATTTGTTCTACAGTACTGAACAAAAAATTACAATATGGTGTAAAGTGGGTGTCACTCGTTTAACGTAAACAACCACTTAGGTATTCGTATGTTTCGTTATAATATTAGTAACGCAGGTACATGACTTTTATTGATTAATTATAGTGTAAGTTAGGAACTTAAATTAATAAAAACAGTAAAAGTTGATGAAAAGAATTTGTTAGATACCTCCTTTTGATAAACTATATTGGGAATCTTAACTATATTTAACACATACTAATTAGATCGACAATGATTTATAACTCATCATAATGATTACAATGATACCTTTGTAAATATAATATTTAATTAAAAAATAAGAAAAATTACACGTCTGAGTTTTAGCAACCTTCTATAATTGCTCTCTATTAGCTTATTATAATTTATGATATACATTTTATTTTTATGTTATAGATATTTTATACTTTTATTTGAATACATACAATAAGGATATTATAACTGTCGTATATTACATATGTAATTATATAATAGTACCTACTGCAAAATTTTCTTTTGAGAGGTAGATAAACATAATAATATTTTTCGTTAATATTTCTTTAATAAAAAAATCCTCTCAGTTAATATTAATAGAACATAATATTATGAATACATGCTTTTAAAATCATAAAATAAAAAGCAATTTTAGGATTTGACCATAGTTTGACATTTTCTTGTCTATACTATTTCATGAATGTGCATTTAAAAATCTAATGAAAAAATGTATAATTATAATCTTAAACTCAATAAATTTTCATTTTTACAATGTTACGAGTGTGTGTACTACTATAATATTACACGCATTGTATAACTTACACAACATATACTTAATACTATTAATCAAATAAAATTCAATATACTTTTTGAAGTTTAATTGTTTTTTTTTTTTTTACAGTCAGCTTAATTATAATTGCATTACCGAACTAGGACCATTGGCATTCAAAGATGCCGAAATCGCCACGGTGTAAGTTTTTTTTAAATTTAACTCGAAATGTTAAATAATATTTAATAAGTACCCAGCCAATAAGGGAAAACATTCATCGCATATTTACCTGTGTCGTTGCAGTAAACTGAGAGGCAATCGTAAACTTCAAAAACTGGACGCTCAAGCTTTCGTCGGGATTAAAAGTCTCCGCTACCTGTAAGTTTTAAGACGCAAAAAGATATTTTAAGAGCATTTACGAAGTTTTTATTAAATAAACGCAACACGATTTGGGCTCGGAGCATATACCTGTACCTAAGACGCGGCAAGACAGTAGGACGAAATGTACAAATAGTTTCAAAGATAATTTCGTGTGAACTTATATTATTATAACAAGTTTTGTTTTAGACGAATTGAAATAGGTGTCATCCGTAACTTTCGTTGTTTCCGCGTTGTCCACGTTGTGTTCCGCAGCTGCAATAACCTGCACTTGTCCGCGCCGCCAAACACAGCCGCTTTTCCGCGGATCGTTATTACGACACACATTATATATATATATATGTATGCATTGTTTTTCCACAGAGACTTGTCGGAAACATCAATCCAGGATTTGCCTACAGCCGGTCTCGAAGAACTAGGTGTTTTGAAAATCGAAAAAACCTACACCATGAACGTATTCCCGTCCATCTACAACTTCAAGGTGAAAATAAATTATACCAACTCGAAACTACGGCAGGGCGCGGAGTTTGATTAAATATTATAATATTACGCTTATCTCTGGGTCGAATAAGAAATGGTTTAGGTTGATTGGCCACTGTATAATTTAATGGACCAATAAAGTATACTAAATAGTGCGTTTAAGTATAATAAATTAACAACTGCTATTGACTCATTAAATGTTTAGTGATTGCGCGACTCGGGATTAATATGGTACACGTGTAGAAACATTCCGGTAGTGGTAACCGCGCTATATTTGGTAGTATAGTACCAGTAGTGGTGTCGGTGTTGTGACATTAAAAAGGCCACTGATTCGCGGTATATGGTCACTAAATCCAAAATAGATAGAAGGGGAAAAAAAGTCTTTACTGAAGTTGGGCGCCTCTCTGTCCCAGTCGAACGTTGTCGAAATACCAAATTCGTCAACAATCACAATTCTATTTAGGTAGAATATGGAATTCGAAAAACGATTCCGAGCGAAGTTTGGACAGACGTGAACATGAACCGCGCTTGCCTACATTTATTTAATATAGGTATAATGTTCCGGAGTTTTTCTATAGTTTTTCCCTTTCGCTCGGGTAAACCTTTTTCAACGAAAATCAGAACACATATCGTTGTAAAAAGCACGAACTGGATGAAATTTTCAGTCGACAAAAAATGTGACTATTTGCGAAACGTTTGAAACTATCGAAGTAATACTCAAAAGAGTATCCACAGAAAAAAAATCTCGCCACTGTACTATTTTAAACAACGGTCTCCGTGAAAATCGTAAATGTATATACTTACAGTTGGTTCGAAATAAAGTACAATATTGTATTTTTCGCTATATCAAATATCATGTTTATCAGTAAAGATTTTGAAGAATTGAAGACGACGGTGTAATCAAAATTGGTCGCCAGGTTTCGACATATTTTAAGCCATTAAATCAACATATCACCGATATCATATGTTATAATTATAATGTTGGAGACCCGGTAATGTTCAAAAATATACGATACTGTAATATATACTGTAAAAAAAAACTAAAAAATGTATTTCAATTACATCATTTTAAAAATAAGAAAAGTATGCAAAAATAATCAACGAATAACAAAATTACGCAACATGCTTTAATATGTAAATTAAAAATTGTTTTTTGAGAATTACCCCTAATTATTATAAATACATAGTTAGTGCGAAAGAACGTTATTTGGTAAATGATTAATACGAATCGTATAATATACACTATACAGCTTACCAAAATTTAAAATCAATAATGAACATTTTAAATTTAAATTCACTTCCAGGTATTATTATTTTGAGTAAACTATTATAATGATATTATGATATATTATGCCAGACAAACCTCGATATATTCTAAAATACCTAAACAAAAAAAAAAACAAAAAAATATATATATCTGTGCTTAACGAACCTTGTTTGTTTGGGATTTTCACTGCCATCAAACCGCATACACTCAACATTGCAAAGATGCGATAATAGTTGGTACCTAGATGTATAATTTAATGACATACAAATCCACTAGACTCTTTTATTTATAATCTTCTTCTCGATAGAGGGGCCCCAACTCATCTATATATATATATATACGTAGGTGTGTGTACTGTGAACACTCGTGTTATAAGTTGTAAGACGTAATATTGCTGTACCTACCTATCTATATCTATATACATATACAAGTATCACGTCGTTATAGAAATGCGACCGATGACCGCGTTCCGGTATCGGAGTTTCGCAAGTGGAAGCATATTAATGTATTAATATAGTATTGTATATATATATATATATATATTAGTGCGTATTACATACTGCAAGACATGTAATATATTATTATGGTGTACTGCTGCTGCTGCACAGTCATCGGCGATCCAACCGATTTCGATTCATCCCCAAAATAATAGCATTACTCGTTACAACGGTCGTTCATGGTTTATTCATGTTGGACACGCGATAGCTATAATACCGCGGCAACATAATACACAACTTAAACACACACATATACACATTTGTGTGTGTGCGTGTGTGTGTGTGTGTGTGTGTGTGTGTGTGTGTGTGTGTGTGGGTGCATTTGCATACGGTTTGTTCTGCAAGTCTGCGAATTAGATCGTATCTTTGTCGTCCGCATGTCAACGGAATGCGTATAATACGGTATACAGTATTTCGGGCCCACACTAATTGTTAGATATTATTATTACCATTGATTGTAATTATTTTGCCCGCGAACCGCCGCCTTTGAATGTTTTAAGCACTTCTCGAGCTGTAGCTGGATATCTCGAGATCGTATTTATCGCCACAACAAAGATGGATGAGACGGGATTGACTTCGCACTCGCAGTGAATACTATTATACATTGTTGTATCTCCCCTTGATTGCGCGTTTAATTAAGAATGCATGACTATTGGGATAAAATATAATATAGTATTCGATCGACGCTCATACGGAAAAAATATGATATTATTGTGTATTTTATTGTATGATTTCTTTATTCAAAACCATAAAAGTGACGGTTTAATGCATACTTTTATCTCGTTTGCCCGAGTAACCTGCAACGGCAATAAATACTTATTTTTTCTATCACTGTTATAGTATTGTAATCTGTAAGCTGTAACCAATAGCGGCCATTTATAAATAACAATACTTCCATCGCAAATCTTACTTAATTAAATGTTCAATAAAAAATTTAAGGGCCACTTATCGAGATAACAATCACTGTCCTATATTTTAAGTCAGACCAAATCACACACATTGAACATAATCTCATCAAAATCGGTTGTGTAGTTTTGGAGTGCATCGCACGTAAACTCGTTGTACGCGTGATTTTTATATACAGTGAAACTTCCATATAACGAAGTCGAATAAGCAGCAAAAAAAATTCGTTATATAGAGGAATTCGTTAAATAGAATTACGTATTTTTTTCAACTTTTTTTTTATTATTTTTTTATTATGTATATTGTATGTATGTAAAAACAACATCAAACATCATATGTATTACAGTTTAATTTAATTTTTAACCTTAAATATAATTTAAAAGAAATAATCAGTAAGTTTTGTTTGTTTATTATTTTTGAAAATTGTCCTTCATTCGTAAAAAGTTTCTATATCGTCAAGTTTTAAAAAAATTTAATCGGGAACATTTGCTTCTTGTCTAAACCCATTTCTTACCACCGATAAAGCGATTAATATATCTTCTTCTGTGAGTTTGGATTGTTCTACTGCATGTTCCTCTTCGTCGTCTTCTTCTTCAAATTCATCAGGATTTTCTTTTTTTCTAACCTCTTCTACAATACTTTCTTCAGTAGGTGATTCATATACGGCGATATCTTCATCAATTTTCAAATAATCTTTTAAAGTAACGCCATCGCAGTGAACTAACTCCCATTCTCGTTGTACATCTGGTATTTCAATATCGGTTTCAACATTTTCATTTGTAAATCCAGCTTTGAAAAAACATTTTTTTATGGTTTCGGACGTTACATCACTTCTCCAAGCTTTCGATACCACAGAAATACAATCTCGCAGAGTAATTGTTGTTCTCTGTTCAAGATTTGAAATAACTTTGTTCAAAATACGTTTTCGATAATACACTTTAAGATTATTTATTATTCCTTGGTCCATTGGTTGGAGCTTACTTGTTGTATTTGGGGGAAAATATGCAAGCGTTACAGATTTTAACTTTGTAGATAAGGTACGAGGATGAGCAGTACAATTATCCACAAATAAAATTATTTTTCGATTTTCTTGACTCATTTTTTGATCAATATCTAGTAACCACTTTTCAAAAATTAATGATGTCATCCACGCTTTTTTATTAAAATCGTAATTTGTTTCAAGTGATTTTATGCCTTTGAAACACCTTGGATTTTTGCTTATTCCAATAATTAGAAGTTTTTGTTTTTCAGTTCCAGTCATATTAGAACACACCATCAAAGTAACTCGCTCTTTACTATGCTTACCTCCGAAACATTTGTCATTTTTAAAAGTTAACGTTTTGTTTGGTAAACATTTAAAAAATAAACCTGTCTCATCAGCGTTAAAAATATCTTTTGGATTGAATTTTTCAATTAATTTTGGAAAAACATTTAATTTCCATGTATCACAGTCATTTTCTTGAACATCAGCACTCTCACCACAAATAACTTTAAACACAACATTATGTCTCGATTTAAATTTATCTAACCATCCAGAGCTTGCACGAAAATCGATAAAACCAAATTTCTGAGCAAAATAAATTGCTTTTTCTTTGATTAACGAACCTGATATAGGCAGATTGTTATTTCGTATACAAGTCATCCATTTAAGAACAGCGTTGTCAACTTCTTCATAGACACAAATTTTCATTCGTTTTCTATTGCTGAGGAGAGAAGAATTTTGCATTTGATTGGTTATGTTTTCACGGTTTTTCAAAATGGTTGATAGAGAACTTGTTGGAATACTATATTTTGCGGCAATATCTTTTTTTTTAACACCTTTATCAACTTCGTTTAAAATTTAAAATTTATCGGAGATGGATAAACATTTACGTTTTGACATTTTTTTGTACGGACGAAGAGAAAACGAAAGAATGTATACTCGTTTGCACCAATATTGGAACTGAAGTGTACTACAGTAAAATTAATCAGTTTGCCTACCTTCAGTGTCTTATCTTTGTCGGGTTCAATGTACAAATGTACGGGTTCATGTACAATTTTAGACCTACTATGACATAAACTATCAATTTGATAGTGACAACATTTACAAAAACTGGTTTTTATCGAATAATTATTTCGTTATATAGAAACATCAGATTCGTTATTTGGAGATAAATTTACGTGTAATTAACAATGAAGGTAATAGTTCTTAAAAATATTTCGTTAAACAGAAAATTTCGTTAAATGGAAGTTCGTTATATGGAAGTTTCACTGTATTAAGAGGACGTCGCACCCGAATGTGTTGTCTACGTCTTACACACGCACGACATGGCAAATTTTCGTTCACTAGTTTAAATAGTGCGCCGTTAGTTTTGATATTTAAGCGAATCAACCTGTTATCAACTAACGTAGAGAACTTTTACATGAGAACATTATCTATGTTTTCTAGCCAGTTTTTTACGATATTTTAATTCTTAAGTGAGTATGTTAAGCATTAATATTTGAAAATGATTATAACTCACTTAAAAATTAAAATATTGTAAAAACCAAAGAGAGAACACAGAGTATGTGTGAAAATACAGAAAATTCACCATGTCATGCGTGTGTAAGACGGAGACAACACATGTGGGTTCGATGTCCTCTTAAGATATTGTACTCGTCGTTTTGTTACATAAACTCACCCGACGTGGTGACATTTTTTTCTCGACTAAACGCTCAGCGCTAACCTATTATTATTTTGACTTGTTATTATAAGTACACATTTAATGATATTATATTACAGAACATTAAAGAAGCTTGGTTAACGTATCCGTATCACTGTTGTGCTTTTCATTTTCCGAAAACACACAACCCGCAAGGATACGCAGATCATGAGGTAATATTATTGTCAAATATGATGTAGTTATATGTACGTGATTCCTAAAACAACATCAAAAAAATGTTCATATTATATTTTAGTAAAAATAAAACGTTATCATAACAATTTTTTTTCTATTATTATTATTTTAGAAACTCCAACAAAAAATGTTTCATGAATGCAAAAATATACCATTTGTAGACCCGATTTCTACTGTGAAAACAATGCACTCGACCACGGAGAAT